GGCACCCACAACCCAGTATGCACAAATTAGCCTCACCATGGTTCCCCTGGTTTCTCTATAGTCTCTGCTTGGTTTTAAGACATTATTGTCTAATTCATCAGAAGTAGAGGGACAATAGTCATTTTTACTCTCATGTTTTCATTTTTGTTGGTTGAACAACAAAAGGCTAGAACTAGTTAATTTTTTCCCATCTCAAGTATTTCTTGATTCCCTTTACAATTGTCACTCATTATCATCACCGGTTATAGTTCAGAGCTATTGCTTCTTGGGGTTAGTCTCCTGCTGGGACATCTAAACTACTGAACGTCTGATCCATTAGGGTCAAGTCCATCCAGTGCAGAACCCACAGCAGATCTGCTGTGGCAAGTCCAAAGGCTCCCAGGGTTGCCCCTCCCTGACAGATACAAACAAAGTAGCCACAACCTACCTTCTACTTTAAACCCACCACTTCCTGCCTCTTTCTAGGCTTTTGTTTTCCTCTGAGAACTCAAGTCTTATTTCAAAGAGTTACTCTAGTAACATGCAACAGTATAGTCTTACATGTATGAAAGCTATTTGTGTTTATTTGCTGTCTGTGGGGTCCCCAATTCCCTTTTCACCCCTCTTTTTTGCCCTCCTAGTCCTCTTTTTAGTTGTCACTCTGGTCACATTCTTGAGGGCCTGGTCCTTTATGTATTTTGTCCCCATGCCATTCCTAACTATGTGAAGCCTTATCCATACACTGCATCTAAGCTAGCCTGTGCATTAATTAGATGGTGTTCCAGTTTGTGTTGATAGCTGTGAGCAGCTTGCTTCCTTTTATGGAAATTAAGATTTTCCTAAATAAGAATTTAGCCCATAACTGAAAAAAAAATGTTTGCCCATTCCACTACTGATAATTGAGCCATTTTAGAAGGCTTATTTGTATATGGGTTTATCTTTAATTTTTCTTTTCAGCCCATATGAATAACAGTAACAAGTCAAATTTTACAGTTATCTTTATTGTGACCTTCTACCCAAGCACTCATACGACATGTTATAAATGTCTTATTCTCAGAGATGCCAAAAAGACTAGCTTTTGGCTTACAGAGTATCACAATTAAAGTGTCAGGGGTCACAGTTTTCTGAATTACAGATCAGTCTCCTTGAGAGTGTTAACCATTGCTTCTTGGAGAATCTTAAACATTTAAAGGTGTTTTTCTAACGCTTTCATTCAGTAACATACTTAGAACATGGATCTCCCCAGGTGGCCAGCTACCATGCCAGAGAAACGCTTTTAAAAGCTTGATTCATCCACATTTCAGAAATATATATTTTTATACTAAAAGGAGCACACTGAGTGTGGCTGTCCCCAAAATACTACACATGCTATTTTCTCAGGAAGAGAAGTGAGGTTTATTTTTTGTTAATGAAATGCCAAACAAGCTCCGCCAACTTGCCAGGCGGAACAAAATCAGAGCATCGTTGGCAGTACCCTGCATGGCTCCATCCACACAAATGTTTTGCAAAAATTTAGCTTAAGCAATTATAATCTCTCTTTTGACCAGGTTCTTTTCAGGAAAAAATTGGGGCATTCAGGAATTGGGGAAGTTATTCACAATATTAGAAACACTTAGAGACACGTCCAATAGCTCCCATCAGGATTGCAGTCCTTCAACCCAGGCCTTTCTTTGCACCTTCAATGGAAGACTTTGGTCGAGGACCAACAGGAATGTAAATTCAGACTTAAACTCCCATTCTCCCTACCGAGTTTTTATAATGTAATATTCATTGCCTCTTTCTGTTTTTCTGTGTACCAGAAGAAACGAACACATCCCCACGCCTTAAGAACTTACAATTAGAAGTATCTCTTAAAACAGGACTTCCCAAAAGAGCAGGCCAATATGCAGATTAGACACAGTGTTTTTTTTTTCCTTGCCATAGCATCAACATTTTATCACCATATTGGAATCTGTTCAATTAGTGAGTATTTTAACTTTCATGGAGGACATGGTTTCTCCAGTGAAAACTTGCCTTTTCTGCCATGGCTCTAGAGCAAGCAGGGGAAATGTTTAAATGTATGAGTTTGGTTGTGTCCCAGTAAAGCTTTATTTACACACACAGAGCATCCTGTATCTGGCTTCCTGGATGCTGTTTACCAATTCCTCATTTAGCTCATTGCTTCCACTAGTAGCTCTTGCTTGGGTTTTAAAGTCATAAAAACTGAAGACAGACATTTACTTCACCTTAACACTTAAGAATGTAGTCAAAATAAACACTTGAGTTCCTTAAGGTTTAACAAAAACTGATGGGACTTAAAATTTTCTTTTCTTGTATTTGTTATTTTTGTGGTGGTTTAAAGAAAAAGTAGGTCACAGATTTTATCTCAGTACTTTAACCTGTCCAGTTAAAAACAAGAAGACAGATCTCATTTGCTGTGAATTTGGGTTCAGAGCCAGGTGGTTTCCCTGTTGCTTTCTGCTCCCTGAGCTGAAGGTCTTCGTGGACATCTTGTCCCAGATGATATTTGGAAAATCCTGTGAAGGGCAGTGGCTGAGGGCAAGAGAAGGTACCACTTCTATGCCCATCAGGCATCAGGTACAAATGTATTCTTGACAGAGCTGTGTGACCAGCAGGAACAGTCCTAAGCCAGACTGCAGGAGAGTCAGGTTACACTCAGTTTTCTCTGACTGCAAGTCCTATGGCCTCTAATTCTTGCAATGCAATCATTCCACACCAGCAGATCTCTCTAAATGCTTCTATTCTTTGTATGAAGATTGCCCTTAATAACACTATTTTAGATTTTTGCTCGTCCCTACTTGGGCCTTGTGGACTGGGGGCCTTGTGCCTCTAATGGTATACTAAATGCATTTGTATTAATCCATTAAAGAGATTTTTTTTAAAAAAAATCCTCTTTCCTTTGGGGAGGAAATGATTATTTGCTTGTATTAACCTAATTTTATGTTTATATGATTCAAAAATGATTGTTGGTGACATTGTAGACTTTTACAGAACTCTCCTGCATGTACCTTTTCTTCTTATGGTGGTGTATATTTCTGCATAACTACATAGCTTTACAATTATACAATCACACATTCATGATTATGTACATATATCGGCTTATGTATCCAAAGGGGACAATTAGAATAGCTGAGCTCTCAAATGGAGGTCATTCTGGCTTGTATCTGTTATGAAAATGGCATCTAAGTGGAGATAGTGCACAGATGTTGAGCTTCCGGAAAATACTACCGTCCTTGTAATAATTGCTACATGCTTCCAGCCACGTAAACAAAGAACACTTAGCCCCTCGCATACAGACACCTTCATACGCCAGTCTTCAGAGGCAGTTATTTTTAAATTTGCAGAATTTGCTTGCAGCACGATTCTCTGCAATATCTTCCCATCTATTTCCACTGTGTCAAACTATGACAGAAACAGAGGGATGCGGGGATAGACTAATGTGTCACTCAGGCTGGCTGGGAGATAAGCTGAGAGAGCAAGAATCGGGTGACGAAGGAGAAAATGTGTCGTCGTTTGAAAAAGAACTCTTCCCTTTCCAGCTATATATATAAAACTCATCCATTGTCAATGGCTAAGGTTATCATTAGTAACGATAACGCCTTACATATGTCTAGGGCCTCATAACTTACAAAGTCCTCTCGGGCTGTGAATGCCTCTCATCCCCCGACAGTCTGTCAGTCTGCCAGCACAGACCTTATTAGTCCCTCCATGTGTCCCAGCCCTGCAGTGACTTCCTGCTGCTCTTTCTAAACCTGGTACCTCAGATCATAGATCCTGGAGCAAACCGGCCATGCGCATCTCCCAGAAGGCCCGGGGTTTGGCTCTCCTGCTTGGTGATGTGTGGAAATTTGCACACTGCAGTTAATTCCTACTTAGAGATAACTCAGATCATTAAAAACCTGAGGTCAGATAACTGCAAATTATTGAGGTCATGCTATTTTTTTTATGGAGACATGTGACAACATTAAAAATGGATAGTATGGATTAATTCCAAAAAATTTATTCTCACTTATGTCATTGGGGCCCCATCCATTTCTCTTGTAAATTAGTCCCAGATAATCATAATTATGACCCTTAGGTACCATAAGAATGAAATACTTCCTAATTACTAAGAGGTGTTCATTTGTGTCTTTTTGATATACAAGGATTTTTCTGCACCGTGACTCCCTGAGAATCAGTCCCCTACATATGTGATTGGTTCACATGATTAGATGTTTCTCCCAGGAGTATTTCTGTGAAAGGAAGCCCTATGCTTGGTGCTGAATGCAGCCAAATCCTACGATGACTTTCGCCTACACTTCTTGTTAATGACAGTCATCCCGACTCCCTTGCTCATTAGCCATACGTCCTTCCCGAAGTGAAACCATGTTGAGTGCGCACCATGATGATGCTTTATCGTGAGCAAATGCTTTCCGTGTCACATACATGATCGGATATCATACAAGACCCATGAGGTATTATTCCCGGCATCAGTATAAAGTCAGCCCCGGGAAACATACGTTGCTCAAAGCCAAATAACGAAGAAGTGACAGGGAAACGTGGTTCTATCCACACAAGTCAAAAACTCTCCTCATCAAACCACAGGCACAGCGGAAACTAGTCACGCAGAATTGATGCCGGGAGCTTCAGCCAGCCCTGATTCTCTTCACATGAGGGCTAGCCTGGTAGTTCTCTTCCCCGGGACTGTTAAGAGTAGTCAGTATCACCTGACAAATCAGAGGTTGAGGCACCTGGTTGTAATCTTGATGATCAGTGTTCAATGACGTCGTCCTCAATATTCCCTTAGAGTGTACCCACCATGGGAGAGCCCCGCCCAGTGCATTGTTTTGTGTGGAGGTAGTTTTATATATTCAGAGTTGAAACAAGACCATGACACGGCAGGGGCCTTTTGTAATCACTATTTTTTTTTAATTCATGTATGACAATAGGAAGCGTTGAAAGGAAATACTGGGGCAAGAGTTCTCCATTTACCTTGGATACAAAATAGATATTTTTTTCCCCTGCCTTTGTCTAATGAACAGAACAGACGGTGCCCACTCTTCCCAGGGAGTGTGAAACAAGAGATAACTGAACACAGGCTTCCTGATCAGCTTTTCACTCTAATCAGAACCGGGTTTTAAACAAGCTGACCTGCTATGAACACGTGACAGAGCATTGCCTTGAACTCGCTCATCTGCACAGTGGCATGAGAAGGTGAGGGACATCTCCGAGGAAGTCAGGCGTGGGCTATTAATTATGTGTAAGGAACGGATGGTCCCCGGGAAGCCACCATCAGCTAGAGAGACCAAAACACTGTGCAGAAGAACTTCTCCGTTTTCATGAGGGATTGCTGATTTCACATGCAAATTGCCAGCTAGTGCAAAGATGCTAACAAAGCAAACTGTGCCTCTCTGCTCAGGAATTCTAAAAAGAAATAAATGTCTTCTGTATTTAATAAGCCCTTATAATTATTCCTGGCATGTCAAGTAGAGCAGGAATAGAATTGGAGAAGATTAGGGGAATGAAATTTTAACATGATATCAGTCTTAAAAGAATTGAATGAGTGGCCCCAGAAATCGTCATTCTTTAAATATGACTCTGCCATTTAATTAGAGAGAGAATGCAGAACGAAATCCTGCCATCATTCTAGGGTTTAGCATAATTTTGAACCATCAGGCAAAATGGCAAGATCAAGCTTGATGTCCCACTATAGGACTTCTTAGAACAAAGGGGAATGAGAGGTGTGTGGCAGTGGCATTGGAGTGAGGATGTTGGACACTTGGCAGCCTGGTCCTTCCCCTCCTTGGACTTTGCTCCTGTGCAAATGGTTTCCAAGGGAAAAAGTAGCAGAGTCAAACCAAGCAAGATTTCTTAAGAAAAGGAATTCCGGTATCAGCAGCGAAAGAGGTGACTTTTGCGTCTGTCACGTCTGAGGGCTCCTGAAGTGTTGTCTCATTAAAATGTATGCCCAGAATTAATTCACATTCATTTTGTTAAGAGCCAAATCACCTGGGTTGAATTTGTGAGTGGAATCATAAAAAATGAATAATGAGAAATGGTAACAGGCCCGCGGAGTGGCCAGGGAGGAGGAGCATAGGTAAGCGGAGACTCTTCTCCCCCTCGGTGATTTTTAATGTTTCTTGGTGTGTGTGTGTGTCAGGGGGGAGATAGTTTAGTCACTAAAGTCATTTCTTTGCAAACATGGAGACCTTTCTTCCATCCCCAGAACCCATGTTAACAAATAAGAAGCTGGGTATGTTGGCACTTGGTTATGGTCACACTGTGGAGGAGGCAGAAACAAGAGGAACCGTGGGGCTTACTAGTCATCCAAATTAGTCTACTTCATGAGTTCAAGACCAATGAGAGACTTGACAGGTGGTACCTGAGAAATGGCATGAGATGTCTTTGAACTTCCACATGTACAGACAGACACACATACACACATACATTCACACACACAGGGACATGCATACACACATAGACATACTGGGACATGCATGCACGGACCCATACATGCAAACACAGATGAACACCTACACATTTGGTGTTTATGGAGGTTATACTGAAGCTGCTACATGGTGTAAAATAAATAGAATCTTTAAAACAAGTGACAGGTTAAAATTTGTAATTGGCTTTCCATGGTTTCCAAGTAGGTGGTAATAAGAAAAAGAAGAAAATTCCTAAAGAAAGTAAGATTTATACATTTTTTTTGTAAGAAAACCTGAAAAGAACATTTAATGATCTTGTGAGGCTGGATGAGGAAATAGGACCCCGGGGAGAGGATTCATGAAGTTGCCTCATTTGGAGCTGCCCATGGCAGGGTTTTTGGAAGATACTAATAAAGGCCATGATGTACCTGGCCTAGAGATGCTCAGAAGTTGAAAATTAGAGCCTCTATTCCTATCATCTCAGAGCCAAAACAATGATATCCTATGTCTGTACAGATGACTGATCTTAACAAGTACAAGGCCAGACTAGATGGCTCAACCTCTCACTCTGCACGTCATCTTGGCTGCCCATAACCCGAAGGACAGCTACTTCTTTCTGTCCTATAGATGATTCCCAGGAGATCACGCTGGCTGCCCTCTATTGCTAGGTTAAGACATTTGTGTTGAGTTGTTATCAGGACATTTAATGTTTTTCTAAGACTTCAACTGCTCTTGACCTCCCAACGGTTCTAATTTTAGAACTGCCCGTGATTGGCAGCTGGCTACTTTGGGGACACGCCACCCTCATCTCGAAAAGCAGAGGCTGGGACTCATTTCACAATGAGAGTCTCCTAGAACATGAGGGGACAGGTCCCTTCTATCTGTAGAGAAGCCTGGATGTTGTGGGGAAAGAATTAGCGCAGACATGCCTACAGGATCAAAACGGAGCCTGGCTGGTCTTTGTATCTATTTTTCTACCCCCCTCTCAAATGGGGCTGCTCATGTATCCCTTCATCAAAACCCTAATTCTGGACCAAGATGCTGCTTTGTACGTCAAGGTTCCCCTTCCCTTGGGTATATCAGAGAATGTCTGGTCTCTGAGGCAGATAAAATTAAGTATAGGGGCCTCTCACTGTCAGCCTCTTGGGTACCAGAAATTGGTTGTCTCATCCCATAGCAGGCAGGCCACATAGACACCCCAGTGCATCCTGGGGGAGTGACCCAGAATAGCTTCTCTTTGGGTCTCCTGCTGGGCCTCTGAGCTTTTCATGCTCTCCGGTGGTGACATCCATTTTATAACTAAGGGAAAGAAATTTCAGTCTATTCCATTTTCTCTGTGTCTCATGTACTGTACACTGTCATGTAAATGGGCACTGAACCTACCAGTTTCTCCTAAAACTTGTACTATTCTTATTTTGGGATATAAATTGTTTTAGGCCCCTAGGCAATCTTTTCCAAGAAATCAATGTGGCCTCAAAGAAGTGTAAACACTTAGAGCAGTGGTTCTCAACCTGTGGATCTTGACACCTCTAGCAAAACCCTCTCTCCAAAAAAATATTTACATTACAATTCGTAATAGCAACAAAATTACAGTTATGAAATAACCACCAAAATAATTTTATGGTTGGGGGTTCACCATAACATGAGGAACTGTATAACAGGGTCACAGCATTAGGAAGGTTGAGAACCACTTGCTCAAGGTTTCAAGAAAGGAAACTGGCAAAGTAGAAAGAGGTATGAGGGACACACAGAGCGTTTCCCCAGCCTCAGATTGAATAGTTGATAAAATTGTGTCATAACTATCCAGACGAAATGAACTTGTGTGACTATGTGTTGAAATCTGGCTTGTGATATAAAAGCACAATTAAGCCAGCCATTTTGTCACCGCGCTTCGAACCTCCCCTTCCCTTAGTGATGTGGCTCCACTAGCTTGTGAGATTAGCTGGCATCCTTAGGTGATCCTGATATGGTCCATGACATGCCTATGTTCCTTCAAAAGGAAGCAGATTAAATTACATGTGGCTATGGCCGAGACTGCAGATTTTAAAGCCATGTTGTTCCTGTATCCATCCACATCTGCATTTTCTAAAATGTGTACTGCTTTTTTTTTTTTTTAACCAAAGGACAGCTTTGAATAGTCACCTCAGCTGGTGGCTCAGGCACATAAACTAAGTCTTCGCCAATGTACCCCGCATTGGGTTAAGTATTTAGCATAGATTAATTGGAAGTAGTGTTATTTTTATTTGTATCTTGTAGGCAAGGAAGTCAACTCATGAAGAAATAAAGCCACACATTCAGATTACAAAGACAGAGCCAGGATAACACCTCAGGGAACCTGATTCCATAGTTGACATTCTCTTCTCAGAGATTCTATTCAGTCATTTTTATTTTTACATGAATGAGAAATAGGCAGATAAGCCGGGTGGACAGGACAGATCAGAGTCAAGTTTAGTTCCAAGCCAATTGATTACATTCAGATAGAAGGAAAACAATCAGCACAAAGAGATCACCTTTTGGTCTAAGTCTCCAGGAATCGGGAGATTGCAGTTCATGCATCCATGCATGGCTCAGACCCGTACACTTCCATGCAGTATAAGCATAGCCACGGCAGGAACTGTGCCGCCTGCATTAAAATCCCAGCTCCACCACCTGGAAGCTGTGTGATCCCAGGCTAATGACTTGCTGCCTCTGTGACTCTGTCTGGTCTGTAGAAAGAGGGTAATTGTGCCCACTTCACATGGCCGTTGTGGAGCTCAAGAGGTTGTGAATACAGATTAGTGCCTGCTATAGAGTTAAGTACACTGTACAGGTGTTTGCTTTCCTCTCCGCCTCATGATCTGCTCCACAGATGTGGTGATGGTGCTGGTTGTGATGGAGGCTTTAGGTATTCAGAAGCTCTCTGGACTTTATATAGGAGAAGATGAAAACACAGCTCCTGTTAGTCCTGTTAGATGCACTTCAGTGACTATGACAATTTTAAGATCGTCTAGGACAGTGGTCCTCAACCTGTGGGCCGAGACCCCCCCCCAGGGATCGCAGATATCCTGCGTATCAGATATTGACATTGCAACTCATAAAGGCAGCAAAATTGTAGTGATGAAGTAGCAATGGAATAATTTTACAGTTGGGGGTCACCACAACATAAGGAACTGTATTAAAGCAATGAAATATTTTTATGATTGGGGATCACCCCAACATGAGGAACTGTATTAAAACAATGAAATATTTTTATGGTTGGGGGTCACCACAATATAAGGAACTGTATTGAAAGCAATGAAATAATTTCATGGTGGGGATCCCCACAGTATGAGGAACTGTGTTAAAGGTCACAGCATTAGGAAGCTTGAGAAGCTTTATCTCATTGGAATGATAAGTGAAAAGGTGATCAACCAACATGTTGCATGCCACTGGGTAAAATTACAATTTTGCCCTTAATCGGAAGGGATTTAACTTCACATATAAATGAGATGATTTTCAAACTGAAATCAGAGAGACTGAAAATTTATTGTGAGAGTCTGAATCTTGATCTGGGTGGATGATTCGGTCAACAAGGTGTTTGCTATGTGAACTCAAATACCCCAGTTCAGATGCCCAGAGCACACGGAAAATGGTAGTGTGGGACCTGTGCCTGTATCCCTGTGATGGAGAGACGGGGCGTCTCTGAGACTGCTGGTCAGCTCGTCTAGTCAAATTAGTAAGCTACAGGTTCAGTGAGAGACTCTCTCTCCAAACTAAGGTGGCTATTGATCAAGGAAGGGAGCTAATGTGAACCTCTAACTTCTATAGACTCAGACAGAGGTGAGCACGAGCACACATACACACAAAATTTTGAATCTTGACATGTTAGAAAGTGGGACGCATTCCTATCTGCAAAGGTCAAGTGATAAGGAAGCCATGACAGAGCTTTTGTTTTGACAATTCATCTTGGGAAAATACAGTAGGTCATCCAATAACTTACAGATTTGATAGATTTTTCACAGATATAAGTCTTCACTTCTGTTTTTGCCAAAGAATCTGACTGGATTCCAGGATTCCTTAGGGGGCTTTCGTGAGGGTAAGGCAGGCTTTATGACTTTAAGGAAGCTTGGCCCAACTCTGCCAGCTCACCAATGGGAAAGGTTGGCAAAGTTCCAAAGGTGATTTGCATTATATCTGTTATGTCACAGGGTGGAGAGTGTTTGGGTGGCTGAAAGGGGAAGCCTATAATTTTGTAGCTATTAGTTGAACATTTCTGCTAAGCCTATTTTTATTCAAAAAATTGGAAAGAATCTCAGCACTCGGGACAATTCTAGGCTTCTCCGCCACCAGAATAGAATCTACCCAGACTCGGCACTAATTCTGACCGTACAAGTAATCAGAGTATAAATATTGAGCCCCAAATATTGACTTCCTTTGTCTCTCCCTTCCTTCCTTCCTTCCTTCCTTCCTTCCTTCCTTCCTTCCTTCCTTCCTTCCTTTCTGATCAGCATTGTCCTTTGTGAAGATTTTTCTGTGTAAAGAGGTAGGGTTTTGAACTTAATCCTAACTACTTAGGAAAAATGGCGCCACTGCTGTCTTGCTTAGAAAGATGGAGCACAGTTACGCTCACTACAGAGCCATGAATTACTTCCGTATTGATAGCCATCATGTGTGCCGGATGTACACACGTTCTTCTAGCTTCTTGAATAGAACGCTAGATGATTGCCCTATCAATAAATTAGAACAACAACCATGTCATGCTTTCTCGCTGCCTAGGGTCACCCTCATGTGACGCTTAGCGACTTCACTACACGTGGGTAATCAGGTGAAGGAGCACCCCCGCCATCGTCCATGGGTCAGCTATGTGGACTCTAGCTGCCAAAGGCGCTTCTCCTTCTGAACCGAGCGCTTTGCTCAGCCAGTGTAGACATGGCCTGATAAACAATGGAACATCTATCTGCCTTGAGAACTGGAGTGTGACTTGGTCTAATCCTTTAACTGAGAATCGGGCACAGGTTTGATGAATGGTTGAGATGACGGCATTTCTAGTAAAGCGGATCCTAAATTGGCGATAATGAAATGAGCAGCGTAATTTATAATGAACTTCAAAGAGGTAGTGCTGAGTGCGGCAGAAGCTAATCAAGGCGCCATCAAATCAAAGGTTTCGCGTGAGCTTAACTATGTGTGGCAGGGAGGTTCTTGCAGGCTTATATCTGTCAGAGTGTTGCCTGGCCATGTCATTTTTTAACCAAGATGTCACCTACCTCAGGAGAAGCAACATGCCTTGCACTCTCTCCTCCCTATGTTTTGTTGGGGAGCGCAAATGAAGCGGGGGGTGCCTTTGCAAACCCCACACTTTGATTTTGCAGGCTCACAGGCTGGCAGAGTCAGGGAGGACGTGGCTAAGACCAGCAACCCTGCACCCCGTCCAGGCTGTCTGCGGGGAGTGTTTCCTGACCTGTCCAGAGAAGTCTGTCCAGGATCATTGAGACATCCCTGAGATTTCAATCGGATGCATGAAGGATGCTGGAAACATGAATCACTGTCTGTGTTTTTCTTTTCATGCACTTAACCCACCAAGGAAAGTGAGGAAGGTGGGGCCGTAAGCCTTAATACACAACCTCTCTCTCCTAGGATATGACACACTCCCAACCAGGCCTTCCCAGACCCTCTGTAGCTCACCAAGCTTCCAAGTTTTAAATATTAAAACCATGAGGCTAGTTTTTCACATATTGAAAACAACTCGATTTGGGAGCTGGGTTAAAAAAAAAAACCTGAGACTTGTACTTTGACTTTTTGATCATTTGTCTATTTCCTCAGGAAAAAAAGAAAGTGTTACCAGTGATATGAATTAACTGTGAGAAACCTAAGGAAAATATTACCTTCCAATTCTCTTCAAAATAGATGCTCACATTATCTTTAAATGGTGGCTAAGTGGTTCAGCGAGAAGCAAGCAGCGTTAACAGCTTCAGAAAAAATAAACCCTGTCTCTTTAGAAGCGCGAGTTGTGCTGAAGAGCCTATAAGCTTAATTCGCTGAGCAGCCACCCAGTCTTTGCCGCTGTATTTCGTTAGAAAGGAAGGAGAGGCTGTTTCTACAGGGTGTCACAGGAAAATCGATGCTGAGCCACGGATTATTGGATCCCACAGAACCGTGGCGACTCGGCAGTGAAATTCTTCCAAAGGTGAGTAGGGACATTGATTTTCTTTCTCGTGCCTGAGGAAATATGGCCCAAGGAACAGAGACTAATTTTAGATTGGAAACAAGTATGACATGACCCCTTTACTTCCAAAAAAAAAAATGCAGTAACTTTGCCAAACAAATAAGCGTGGAAATTCAATAAGCATAGAAGTTGGTCTCATTCAGTTTTTTTTGTTTGTTTGTTTTTTTAAAAAAGTGTCTTTGGTACATTTTATTTAAAAAGTATGTTTGTTTGAACTTTTATCTGTAGCTTAGATTCAGCTAAAAGTATTTTGGTGAAATATTTTTATCATGTAATATGGATGTCTCCATCTTAAATTCCTGACATGAATGTACCGTCCTATCCGTTTCTAAGAAAAGCAAACTCCTTATTTACACCACCTCAGTTAAAACAGGAGCCGGTCACCAACCTTCATCCTCAAACTCTATTTCCCAGTCAAACCTGTAGTACGGCTTCTACACTCACACTCACTTGTTTGCCTGTTTACGTGACAGCCTCTTCTAGATACCTGAGTTGAAAGAAAAAGAACAAAACAAAAGAGCAACAAAAAAGCAAAGCTGTTCCTCCCACCTCGGTTGCTTCCCTGCATCACTTAGCATTCCGTCTGCGAAGGCAGAGGTGTCCCTGGTTTGGGAAGTATAAATCCCGTGGGACGTCAGCTGGAGAACATTTTACGCATCGCTCATTCTGTTATGAGCCTGCTGCTCTTCCGTCTCCCGACAAGGTAAGAGATTTATCGTGAACTGGCTACGAGAAGGAGAGGGTGTTGTGTGCCGGTAGAACCTGCTTCTCAACCTGCCTGTTTCTTGCGAGTTATAACGGAGAATGTGCAGCTTGTGTTCTAAGCAAAGCATAATTGCAGCGGCTATACTGCTGGCTTATGCGACGGCAAGTTCTCCTGTCCCTGGTGGCACTGGTGTTCTGCCCTGGGGCCTGGGGCCTGGAGTGGTGTCTTCTTCTCATGGAAAGAGGCGCGAGGAGTTTTTTTTTTTTTTTTTTTTTTTATAATGAATTTGAGCAGAGTTGATGATCCAAGAAGACTATGCAGGCTGCAAAGCACAAAATGGCCAAATTACTACTTTAATCTGGTGAGAAAGAGATATATCTGAGTTATACTCATTTGTGCAATCAGAAATTTATTATAAAATGTCAAAACATAAAAAAAAGCTTACCGGTTCATAGAAATGAATGTGATGATCTTATCATTTAGTTTTGTTTACTTGTTTTTGTTTTTGTTTTGTTTTAAGTTTTGTGTTCAAGACAGGGCTCTTTGTGTTGCCCTGGCTGTCCTGTAACTTGCTCTGTAGACCAGGCTGGCCTCAATCTCATGGAGATTCCCCTGTCTCTGCCTCCTGAGTGCTGGGATTAAAAGTGCGCATAGACAGCTGGCAGTTGGCATTGGTTTTTCTTTTTAAATTGGCCAGTCAAAACAGTCTCATTTTCTTTTCCTTAGCGTATGCTTTTAAACTGTCTGAAACACTAAAGGCTGTGTATTTTCACTGCTCAAATTCAGGCTAAGTAGACAGTGTCTACTCTGGCTGTGCCCGACATCCCTGCTCCGTGCAAGACCACTGATGAGAAGAGCACAGAAATATAAATAAAATACCTGGAAGTGAAAATCTTTGAATTTCCCATTCGATGTGGTAAGATTTTTATCAAGCTCTATGTAACTGCATTTGCTTTCCACGCTGTCCCATCACGCTCCCTCTGCTCTGTCTGCACTGCGACTCTTTGGAGATGTTTAAAACTAGTCCATTTAATGATTATGTTTATATATAAACCAAATGATTTTCTCTCTCTTCCATCGTCTTTGGATTATGAATCAGAATATCATGCAGGTAAATAAGTCAAGTGTAAATGGTAGACATTATAGTTCTTTGGGGGAAAGGGCATGCTATTTTTTGTTCCTTGCTGGGGTTTAATGGGTGGTGCCTACATTCTTGGAGGTGAACAAAGACAATAGCATTTTTCACATGCTCAGAGGTTAAAATGGGAACTAAAGACTTTTTTTTTTTTGCTATGAGTGATAACCGCATGTACACTGTTGCAATAATGGAGTATCTTTACAAGGATAAAATGACAGCCACCAAGGGTGAGATGATGCAAAAATCAGACATGAATACAGTTCTAGATACCCGTGCACACAATTCAGAAAGCCCCAGCATCTAGCTCTCTTCACTTGGCAAGTGTATTGTATGGACCAGAAGAAAAGCAATTTTTCATGTTTATCAAAAACGATCTCATAAGATATTGAATATTTGTCAATCTCATAAGATAGTGAATATTTGTCTATCTATCTACTGTCTATCTATCTATCTATACAGTATGATGCAGCCATTTCTCTTCTAGATTAAGGTTAAGCATGTCTTATAAGTTTTTCATGTTGAATATGTCCTAAACAATTTGAGGGAAGTGGTAACTCATTGAGGCACGCTCATCTTTAGTGCGCAAGCTATCTGAGAAGCGCAAATGGCAGAACGCAATGTCCCTGACTTAGAAACTTTCCCTTTGTTTGCTCCTCATCCTCCTCGGGGCTCTTTCTGGACTCCCCTCTCTTCCGTTTCTCTTTGATGCTTCTATTGTATTCCACTTGGCAGTTAAAGGACAGAAGCCACAATAAGGCTGCCTGGCTACATTTTCCCAGTGCCCCCCAACTGCGAGTTAAGCTGAGGAACATTTCGAGAGCTCGGCCCATTTCATTCACAGCGGGACGGCAGGTAAAAGCATTTCTGTATTAAAATACACATTTTGTTTCTTCAGGTTTTTGATTTAATTTTTCTGGCTTGCCGGTCAGGAGAAGAAATGGAAGTAGGTTGGGGATCAAATGCCTGGGGTATTTAATCAGACGCCTGGCAACTCCTGATTACAGGATACGGAAAATTCACTTTTGAGGATTACTGTGGTGGATTTTGTCAACTCCAATGGGTGCCCCCTTCTACACAGCATGGAATTGGTCTGCTTCCATCCGACCACCACCTAAACAGAACATAGTGGAAGAACTGCAAAGTGTTTTTATGATAACTCTTGGGTTGTTAGAAACTAAATGGGCAGAGTAAAAATTTGTATTGCATATGCATATCTGTACATAATGTGCATTATTATTTGATCGATGAGAATGAGACAGTGAGATTAAATTTGTGTCCAAGTCACCTGATTATGATTTCTTAAGTTTTATGAGCCACCTTCCATACTAAGTGAAGCTCACGTAATCAAGCAAACATAATAGAGCAAATCATATGTTGATCTTTGATCATGGGACTTAGTCTGCTGTGCTAAGGGCCTCTAAGTCCAGACAAATGGGAGCTTGTGGGGTAAGACAAACTTTTCTCCCCGTGCAGGAGCAGACAGAGGGCATTCCGCCATGACTGGTAAAATCTGGATAAATAACATCAGTTTCCATCCATACCGATTGTATTTCTAAGGGAAGTTAGATCTTTGTATCCGAGTCACATGGGGCAGATGAGGCTCACACTGTCACATTGATGGTGGGAGGATTGAAGTTCTGAACTAAGTCAGATAACTATGGTGGGGACATTACTCACTAGGAAGGAAAAGTTCCCACAGCTAGTGATGTCAGTTTTACAGAGCCGTTTCCACTGGAGTTAGTGCCAGCTCGCACGCTACCTTACCCCGGAGTTTGACTGGCGTTTCGCTTTATGTTCTCTGAGCATCCCATTGATAGTTCTTTTTCGGATCAAGTCATATCTTAACAAAAGAGTGCAGTGGAAAAAATAATGGAGCCTTTCTCTGAGGTTTAATAAGGCACATTATGAACGGAAGGCCCCTGGATGTCCACAATGTGACTATGCCTAGAATCTTGTCAAAGGTATGTGGTTCCTTCTGCTTGAGTAGCCGGACAGGTCCTCTAGCCAAGTTGTCAAGGCTGACAAAGACTTTCTATTTATAAATGTCCTGGAGGACCTACGAGGCGTACTGGACACTCGTTTGTTTTCTAAAGTAAGGTTCAGAATCAATAAGTTAAAAGTTTTTCAGAGTTGCCTCTCTGCTTGCCTGTGGCAACACCACCTCGGATATTGATCCACTCAGAAGGCAGGGAAGGCCAGCTCCACTGCACTCTAGAGCGCTAGGTGGGTTCATTTTCTGCTGTCAGGAGGAGGGGCTTCCATTTGCTCATTTGATGTGTCTTGGCTTTCAAAATAATTTTGCAGGGTAGTTATATGCGAGGGCAGGGTTTGGAGTGGTAGAACACAAAGGCAAGCTTTCAAAAGTTATTATTATTATTATTTTATTATTATCCTATTGGTTAAATAAAAAATTCTAGAAAAATGTCTTTGTTTTGGGATCGAATCATTGAGTAAAATGAAGACCATAGTGAACCTGTCACAAGAAGGAGCAGAGGGAAGAGGGCCCTTCAGTTGCTGCGATCCCTAAGGGCCCACTAGGCTGATAAACTCTTAATGAACTTGAAGCTAAAGAGATGAACCATTGCTGTCTAAAGCGGCATAAAGACAACAAGCCACCTTCATATGGTTCTCTTCTAATTGTTTATCTCAGTGGTCCATGACGCAGGGCAAATACGGGCACCTATGCTTTCATTGAATCCTGCACATCTTTCAGGAAGTCCTGACAACTGCAGAGGAGGGAGACCTCAGCGACCAGGCATGTGACCCCAAAGTGAGACATTTTAGATCTGAAGTTTGGATTTTATTTTAGAAACATACACTTGGCCTTCTGTTCTCATTTTATCACGTGTACTTCATTGCCTACAAAAATATTTCAATGCGCTTCTCTTCAAGTAAAGCTGGGGTTTGAAATAGACTTGCCATATCTTCCCCTCTGGACTGTGATAGACCTTTGTGGGGTGTCTCCTGTGTTCCAGCAGGTAGTTTAATGCCCAGCATCCTAGCACACTTTCTTCAGGTTTGAAAAAAGCAGCCTAGAGAAACACGGGGTTGGGACACATGAATGGGCGACAGGTGGGAGACTAGTAAACGACCATCGCGCACCTGAATCTGGTTTTCTACCCCGGAGGTTTTAGGTGATCAGCGTCAGAAAGTAGAACTGAGTTCCTTGTGAATGTGCAAAATTTTGTTGAACCCTCTGGTCAGTGGGGCACACGCCTTTAACCCCAGCACTCAGGAGGCAGAGGCAGGCGAATCTCTGTGAGTTTGAGGCCAGCCTGTCTACAAGAACTAGTTCCAGGACAGGCTCCAAAGCAACGCAGAGAAACCCCATCTTGAAAAACCAAAGGGAAAAAAAAAATCATTGAACCCAAAGCAGTTCTTTTGGGCTTTAGGAGACTGCAGTTTTGTTGTCGGTATCTTTGAGATATGGAACCTTCTTCTTGGCTCCTCATCACCGTCTTTGACAAACGTTCCACACTTCAAGGTTCCGTTTTCTTTCCACTTGTTTTCCCTCTGAAGATGAACTGCTACATTTTATTCCTCGGTTCAAATGTTGTGTGCATGGATTGTGTTCAGCCAGAAGAATGGAAACTTGAAATCGGGGGTATGGGACTAGAATGCTGGCCTGTGCGTCTGTGTGTGTCTCTATGTGCATATGTGTGTGTATAGGTGCCTATCTGTGTGCGTGTGTGTATGTTTGTATGTGCATATGTGTTTATATCTGTTGTGTGTGTGTGCGTGTGTGTGTGTGTGTGTGTGTGTGTGTGACAGAGAGAGAGAGAGAGAGAGAGAGAGAGAGAGAGAGAGAGAGAGGGGGAGAGAGAGAGAGAGAGAGAGAGAGAGAGAGAGAGAGAGAGAGAGAGGAAGAGAGAGAGACCCAAAGAGAACATTGCTCATGTTAGTACATACATGTACTGGTTAAACTAGAATTGGCTTGAATAGTTTGAACCCCGGTTCCCCTCATTAGCCCTAAAAAGAATTTTTCAACCTTCTTCCTCACCTGAGGATATTTACCCTCGCCCTCACAGTGTGGCAACAGAAATTAAATAGCACAGTGGACCTAAGAACCATGTTTAGTGTATGGTAAAAGATCACAAGCATCAATAATCATCTTCCATGGAGCTAGCATTTACTGCGTGTCTGCACACGCACATACAGCCCATATACACACTTTCAGCGTAACACATTATTATTCAAAGCATGCTGGCTAGTCTTCAGAGGGAATCGTGAAAAGGCACTGCTTGCCGTCAGCATTGGCATCTTCCAGTGAGCAGGTGTGTCCTCTTCTTACTCAGTCACAATGCCCGATGCCCTGCCTCCCTTTCCCTCATTGCTGGCAGACCCTTTGTGCTGCAGGTAACCAGCACAAAGGTGAGAATGATTGAAAGCATTTGTACTATACCGCCCATAGAAAGGTCTCTGACCTCTTATCAGGGATCAAGCCCTGAACCAAGGAGATTGGAGCACAGGCAGCAGCTGGAAAAATTATCCAGACTGTGCAATCTCTGCCTGCCCTCTGGAGCGCTCTCCCCAGAGTCAGGATGGTTAACTGGGCCATGGGGTGAGGTTAGTTCAGATGCTGAAGGTGCCTGCTGGGGCTCTCTTTGGGGTTTGTCCAACATCCTCAAAGGCAGCCTCTTTCTAAGCCTGGGGCCATTTAGGAATGTCTTTCAGCTTTTCCCTAGTTTTAAGCCCCAGTTTTTCTTTAATGACTGTGGACTTTGAATCTTGCTATGCCTGAGACACAAGCTAGAGCCTTTGGAACAGTTTTCCCAATATTATTCTTCTCGTTTGGATACATAGTTTTGTTTTGTTTTGTTTTTTTCCTGCCTATTTCCTATCCACAGCCTCCTTCTTACTTGCCCATTGTGTTTCTCTCACAAAGGTTTACATTCGAGGCTGGAAGCGTTGCATCCATCAGATGCCATTTCTGATACTTTCTTCTAGAATATTATCCTTTGACTTTTATGCAACTTGCAGGCAGGTTTAAGATGTGAAGTGTTCATGTTCAAGCTCCACCCTCACTAGGGGCTCATGTTTCAACAGCCTTGTTTTTTCTCTTGTATGTGTGTGCAGTAAGTAAAGAATTCTAGGCTAGCCACGTTACAGGATGCCACAGAAAAGCCCTTCTGGGCAATGGAAAGAATTTAAAGAGAGATAATCCTATCTAGTTTACTAATTGCCTTGTTTATCCATGAGGTAGGAATAAAGGGGTCTGGCCCTGGTTTATGAGAACCAATCAGATCACTGCCTTTGGTAAACACCACAGTGGTGCAGACATAATTCGTAGTCTTTTAAAGGACACTGCACAGCCTTTGATCCCAGCACTCAGGAGGCAGAGGTAGGTGGGTTTCTGTGAGTTCGAGGCCAGCCTGGTCTACAGAGTGAATTCCAGTCTAGTCAGGACTACACAGTAAGACTTTGTCTCAAAAAAAATATTTCTTTTCCTATATCAATTAGTCTCTCAAGTAGTTTTGTTCTAAGAAAGGACTTGGAGATAATGCAGTATATTTGGTAGTTTGTAAAATTCTAAGAAACTTTATCTCCTCACATGGCCCAGACAAACTCTTGGGTGGTCTCTGCCAATGGCCACCCTTTAATTCCTTTACTTAGCACACAGAGGTAGACAGGGCAAATGCCCAGTTGTGAATAGATGGGTGCACTAGGGTCCAGAGCACTGTTCGTTGCCTGCCCAGTTTCAGTGCCCAGGCTCGCATTAAAGCCACAAACCATGGTGCTTTCAAAATGTTCTTCACAAATGAGAAGAGAAGGATGTTAATGTCTACTGAATACTTGCTATATATGAGATACGTATAGTAATCATCATCATCATTGTTATATAGCAATGAAAA